GGTAACCATTATAAAGTATGTTTTTATAATTTTTTTTAAAAAAATATTCATTTCAAATTGTAAAACATCGACTTATTTTTAAAAGGGTTTTTTTTATAATTTATGTATTTAAAGATGTAATAAATATTTTTTTGTCAAAAATTAATATTAAAAAAATAAAAATTAACAAACTCTGGTGTGTGGCTCACGTGGTTATTGTGTGGTTTCTACCTACACCATCAAAGTTCGATTTCCTTTGTCCCTATTCCTCCACTCCCTACCCCCAATCTAGTAGTTCAAAAAAATAATAATAAAAAATAAAAATTAATCTTTAATTTATCAACTATATGATTAAATTCATCCATTTGCACTAATACTAAAATTAATATTATCTTTTATATTATATATATATTTATGATAAAAATAAATACTCTTAATGGGCATAAATTAAAAAGAGACCCTTTTAAAAATACAATGATTTCTTTAAATCAGACCCATAAAATAGACTTTCTCTTTTGTTAGATGCCGGGCCGAAAAAATGCCTCTAAAAATTGACCATGGGCTTATGGGTCCAAAAACTCCTGAATGGATTTCCCTCCATCGCCTCTACATTCGTTACCGTGGCCAGTTTTCTAACGGCGCCGATTCTCGTAACCTTCTTCCCTCACTTTCTTACCTCCTTCTCCGCCGTCTTACAACCACCACCGCCGCACCAAAACCAAGGCCGAAGAAAGAACCATACTCTTTCCTCAAACAAGATCCGGTAGAAATCTGTCAATCTCTCTGGGTCAAATCCTCTCTTCACCACCCACTACCACGTTCCCAATCCCAAACTTCACTGGCTTCCTCTCCGAATTCGACCTCTGAGTCCTCGCCACCGGCGCTCAAGTCCTCACGTCACCGGAACATTCCCTCCCCGGCAACGCCACCCACTCCCACACCCTTCAATCCGTCCTCTCTCTGGAATGCCGTTGCCCACGGCCGTTTCAAATGGAACCAGAATATCCGCAGCCTAAGCCTTGCACGGTGCTGATTTTTCAAGAGGAAACTGCAACAGATTACTAGGAGAATTCAGTTCTTAGACCAGAAGAGTGTAGGTACTTTGCTTTCAGTTAAAGCTAGTTTACAGCAATATATTCGTTAATTCAGGCGCCTTGCATTTGTTAAGGGTGATAAGGATCCTGAGCCACTGCCTTGTACTCCAATGATCTACTCAAGTCAAGCTCATACCAATTCTCGAATGAATAAGTTTCTTGAGACCATGGCTGATTGCTATAAATATGCTGATAATCGCAGGAAAATTGTTGGTTTTTGTGCTTATGTGATTCATAGCTACAGGCTAAATTATACAAGATAGCCTTGATGGTGTTCAGTTTTATCGCATGTCTATGATTCCAAATGTGTGATTACACTCCACATTAGAGTACAAGACCCAATGTTCTTCCGCAACTTGCATAATAGGTCAACAAAATGTGATGGTTTAAATGTAGCATGATGAAATCTCTGAGGTTGTGTGGAATTGCAAGATTTTTGGAATTTGGAGATATCAATCTAATAGTGAAAAAGAAATGGAGGATAGTTGAGAATAAAAGACACTAGGAGTTCTTTCAACTAAATAGGAGTTCTTTCAACTAACTCATTGTATGAAAGTAAATTTGACTGGGCGCATTCCTTTGTGGAGAATATATCTCTATGTTGTCTGTCTGGGAATCAAAATGGAAGAGAATCTGAGATTCTTCTACACAATCTCAGAGAATGGAAAGTCAGCGCACAAGCTTCTCCATGCGCCCCCTTCTTTTGACCCTCAGTTGTACTTGGCTTGGGACAAGTGAAACTCAATTCACTTTGATGGTTGCTTTCTTGAGAGCCTTGTGGTTTTGGGTATTGGTGCCAGCAGATGACCTGATGCTAGCATTGTCATCATCGCTGTTCTTTAAAACCTATAATAATGAAATCCCAGGATTGAGTATGGAGTATGCACTTATGGGCAATTTCTTGGCAGATATTGGAGTTATTCATGAATTCTTGATTACAATAGTATTACACTGATTGTCAAAGAGGAGGGTCCATTGAGGATGTGTCTGACATTTCCTGTCCAATATTTATTCTCTGATCGCAGGGTGGTAGCACAGACTCAGCTAGATCAAGTTTAAAGTTTTCAGAACTCAGAAGACATCTAATACAAAGGCTTGCCTCATAAACAATAGACATATGTATGTTCCATTTCTTTTCATTTTTGAGTCCATAGTTGCATCTTCCTTCATATCTGTCTTTTTGGATTCTGTATATCTTCTCAATGAATTCCAAAAGGTTTTGCATGAGACTTATTTTCTTCTCCTACCAAGTAGTAACAGGCTAATTTGCTATGTTACAAGCTGTAACTACAGTGCTTTAGCATGCTAAGTTGCTAACTTTGTGGATAGTGAGCCTTGCTTGGGCCTATAAAAATCATGTGATCTTCGATTTGGTACTTTAGTTTCACCGTCTTTCCTATCTTTCCTGTGTATTGTTTTAACTTCATGGAGCTCTTGTATATTTTTAAACATTAGTCATCGAGATGTAACTTTTCAAGTATCCTTTTCAAACCCCAGTTAATTTTTAAAATTAAGAGTGCAATAGCTGTTTCCTTTCTGCATCTGTTCTTGGGCTAACATGCACCAAACTTAAAGACATATGGTACCTTCTAGTGAATTTGTGACCTAGATATCTGTCTGAAATGTAGCCTATCTAGTTCGTATTGTCAGGTTATTTGTAAGTTTCTGAAAAATGCTGTAGGTTTGCCTAGAATGGCCTTTAGTTTGGTTAGAATGATCTGGTCCATGTAGTTTGTGTTGCTAGTAATGTTAGCCTTATTTAGGAGTTCCAGAAGGCCTAAGCTAAATCTGAAGCCTCACCTCCCAGCTTTTAGTTCTTTTTAAATGGAGAAACAAAGGGGTTTGGCACATTTGCTTATCTAAGATTCTCTAGGGAGTACAATGTCTATGATATATACTCAATTCATCCTTCTATGCAATCCAATTTTTTATGCAATCGTTTCCCCTTTTCCACAGAAACGCACTTTCAACTGAAAGCAACAAGGATTAATGTTAAATGCAAGTAGTTAAAGGATGTAATTCTGGGGAGTTTTTTTGGTTCTATCTAGATTCTGGCATGTGATCCAATTCTATTGAATATATTGTAGAGTAGGTTCCAACGACTAGTGCTTTAGCACTGTCTTGCTTTATTTCTTTTGTTAGAGTCAAAGAGTTGGGCCAGACAGCAGCAGGCCTGTCTCATCAGTCCTCAACTGTACAAGATATTGCTTCCAGTAGTGGGTTGCTACACAACGATTTTTCTTGGAATTTGTTTTTCCAAAGTGCTTTACTGTATATTTCCCATTAAAGTTCTTTACCAAGGAGGATCTTCATGCCATTACGGTATTTAAATTTAAGTATTTGAATGCAATTGATCCACTCTCATTAATTATTTTTAAAAAAAATTTTTAAAAGAAAAAAAAGAGGATCTTAATGTAATTTGCTTTTCAAAATATTTTACTTTATATTTTCTTATTTGATAGTTAATTTTATGTAATTTGATATAATTTATATTAAATAAAATATTTTTTTATTTGAGATTCTTTACTTTCAATATTATAAAATAAAGGAAATTTCAATTATATTTTATAAAGTATTCTGTCTAAATCATGGAGTAACTAACTTCTCCAGGTATACCTTCCTCTCGCCGAAAAAGTGACAAAAGAACGTGTCCTGCCAGCCTGGGATTTGTTGCCAGCTTTTGTCTCTTAAATGTTCCTTGGTTGGTCGAGTTCATTTTGTTCCTTTCCTCCTTTTTATTATTATTCTTTTTTTTTTCTTTCTTTCAACTTTGCTTTGTTGTTACTTGTTATTGTATTATGATAATACTAATTAAATCCACAAAAAAATAAATTAGGGATTCACCTTCACCTCACATTTCGTCAAGATACTTGTGGCACCTGGAGTTATTCATAAATATATCATGGCCTACCCGTCCCCATGTGATGGTTAACTTTTTTTTCTTTTCTTTTTTTTTTTTTGTAAAATCATGAATTTGTAATGAGTTCACCATGAATTCGAAATCAATTAGGGATTCACGTTCACCCCACATTTCCTTAAGATACTTGTGGCATCTGTTGTTATTCATAGACAAATCATGTTGTTCATCATAAATAAATCATGAGCTATTTATTTTTATCTTGTAATTAACTAAATAGAGTTGATAAAATGTAAAATTAACATTATCAAATAGAAAAGGTCTATATTTACATTATGTGTTTATCTCTATTTAATAATTAATTTTATATAATTTAATATAATTAAACTGCATAAAATATTTTTAATTTAATATTCTCCACTTTTAATACTATAAAATACAGGAAATTTCAATTATTTTTTTTTTGTGAAGTACAGTAGATCTAATTTTTTCCAGGTGTACCTTCCAGCGGAAAAAGTGACAAAAGAACGTGTCCCTGACAACCTGTGATTTAGTTGCCAACTTTTGTCTGTCAAATATTCCTAGGTTAGTTGAGCTCTTTTTTGTTCCTACTTTTTTGAACATTTTTTCAACTTTGCTCTGCTTTGTTGTACAAGTATTGGGACAACACTAATTGAATCCACAAAAAATCAATTATGGGATTCACGTTCACCCCACATTCCCTCAAGATACCTGTGGCACCTGCTGTTATTCACAAACAAATAACGGCTTGCCCTTTTGGTTCTTCTTGGCTTGGAATTGGACCCTTCAACTTCACTCCCAATTTTTCTAAGGTTGTGTCTGTATTCCACCACTACCTGCTCAAACACTTCTACTTGAAACATGTTTAATCTCAGCTTTGGCTTCATGTGATCCCTCACAAATGCAAAGGCCAGTTGGTCTCTTGGGTTGAACGCTTCCAACTCGTTGAACATTAGGCACGAGAAAAGGTTGCTTTCTAATCCATGTTTCCTCACAATTAGTGCACTATCTGGTACATCTGCCCCACAAAAGTTTTTCAGAAAAAGGTCATTAAATTGCAACATGATTATTTTTGTCTTTTTTTTTTTTCTTTTACTTGAACAAGTACAAATTTCAAAGATGATAATAGATTTCAACCAATATCATACTGATGAAAATATATCTTTAAAGTTATTTATTAGACAATCAACCCATAAGGATATTTATTTTTTATCCCCCTTGAACTTTTACAATATTCTAAAAATTAATACAAATAGATAAAAAAAAAGTGCTGTGCATAATCATAATTATTTTTATTTTACAGTTTAGTACAATTTAAATTATAACACAGTGAAAACTATACAAAGAGGTACAATCCACTAGAATGAAAAGGATGTAGGTTTTGGGACCAAATAAAATCAAAATTATGAGTGTGCATTTAAGGACATAGAGTCCAACATTTCTGGGCTTCGGGACCATAGACATTGAGACGGTTCTCTGCAAATTTTCTAGGACCACATCCAACCAGTTTAACAACCAATTAATAATCTACTTTTAATATACCATACACTCGAAATGAGGCTATTTAATTAAGGAAACAAGATTTTCACATACTTGCACATGGCATTAGCAAATTAGTGTACAATAATTAACTTGGAAATTTTAATGATCAACTCTCATGATTTGAGGCATTCGTAACACTAACTGTATTGAATAGAATGTACATTTATGAAGGCTAAAACCTTGATTTTAATATTTGTAACCGATTTCTTTTTCTCCCAAATTCTACCATGTTCAAAAAAATTATAAATATGAAAAACTCTTGAGATTTAAGATTTAAGATTAATATCAAACCACCATCTTCAAGGAAGATAACTTAATATTCAAGGTAACCTAGGAATGATAAAATAAACCTTGTATATAGTTTCAAAAATGCCAATCCCCAAAGAAGAAGTTTCAAACCTTATGCAGACAGGTCATTCATAATCAGTTTCCTAAGGCACAAGATACCATGAAATTTGAAAATTTTAAACCATGAAATTCCTTGGGTATATGCATGGTCAAATTTTATGTTATCAAAAAGGATATTGTTTTCAGCTCGAGTGAGTATTAGAATCATCTAGTAACAGCACTTTCAAACAAATGAAATAACAAATATTAACAGAATTTTACCTGTGGTATATGGGTGCTTGTTGGGTGTCCATGGCTGCAACCCGTTTTCGCAGTAGGTTTCCATTTGCAATGTCAAGGCATTAACATCCCACCATTTCTTCCACCTTGCAGTTGCCATAGCTTCTTCCATAGTATTAACATAGAATGGATGTTTGGATATAGCCATGTCTGCCTTCTCCGATACGAGGAGAGAATGCACAAGCAACAATGGATCAACCATTAGTTGAAGCTTCGCATCAATCCAAATGCTGAATTTCGAGGTTGGAAAAAGCCTATGAACCAAGTACTTAGGTATCACCCCATTCATGGTTGGATTCTCATACAATTCCTTTGAAGCTACTCTTACAATTCTCCAAACCCCTATCTTATGCTCCGATGAATTGGGAGAAACCAGTTGGTGATAATCAAGTACCTTGAATGTTGTATCATCTACAAACATGAAGAAACATACAGTTTCTAAAGTTTTGGATCCGAGACCTCTTGGTTGCCGAATTTTGTCATGGTCATTGAAGATTGCGGATACCACAACAACTCCATTGCAGTTTTCCATTGCAATTCGGTCTAAATCAAACACACATAACTGAGTTTATGGGGTTACTAGTTTCCTAAACATGATAAGGGAAAACACCAAAATTCAGATGAAAAACTAACCGGGATTGCTGATCGGAAAATTTTTCAAGAATCCACAAGGGATTTCGACGTTATAGTTTGAATGATCAAAATATGAAATCCTCTTCTGGGTACTCAAATTTCCGCCGAAGGTTTGACTTTTCCCCCGCACATACCTTAAAACCGGCGAAAACGCAAAGGAATTGTTACACAAATCTTGGATCTCCTTCAACACTACCCGATAATCTAATCAAAGAAAATTATACCCAATTCGTCCAAAATTAGAAGAAAAAAAATCATATTAAACCAAAATTCAACAAGAAAAATGAAATTCAAAAACAGGGAAAAGTTAACATACCAGAGAAGAAAACAGGGGAGGAGCAAGAGGAGCGCTGAATTGGGATAGCGTACTTGTGTTCTCCATAGGAGGGAGGGTAGGAGAAGAGAGGAGTCTGAATTGGATTGAGAGGGGAGGACCTGAAGAAACATTTGGTGGAAGAAAGGGATTGGTAAAGAGCAAGAAAGAGAGCGATGAAGAGGTAGAAGACAGAGAAACAGAGGAATTTTGATTGGAAAAGCAGAGGAGTTGTAGCCGATACCATTCCCACAGTATCCAAAACTTCTCCAAATTCCATTTGTTCCTCACTTTGATAATTATCATGACCCCATCTCCTTTTCCCTTTATCCTCTTAAATTATTTTCCTTTTAAAAAAAATCCAATGACTACAATTTCATTAGTCATTACCCTCCCCTGAATAAACTTCCCTAGATTCAGTCTTCAACTCGTCATCCAATTTAGGAGTACCTTTTCAGCTGCTCCATTTTTATGGTACAATTAAATATAACATGGGGAATTGCCAGTTAGTTTTATGTTGGATGTTCCTATTGTATTTCGACCTACGTGACAAATTTTCACATAAATAACCTTGGCTGCTGCTGTTTGAATTTAATACAGGGGATACCAAAGTTGATTATTAATTTAAAGGATATATTTCTTGGGATATTTATTGTTGAAACAAAAGATGAGTGATAATTATTTCAGATACATCAAAGAAATAGAGCTCCTCCGTTGGTATACTCCGACGGTACCTTTTTACAGTAATAGAAAATATGGGGGAGCTATTGATTTTCTCTGGCTTTTTGTATTTCGTTGTCAAGCCCTTTGACAACGTTTGTAAACTCTGCAAAGTCTGTTACGAGTTTATAGAAGTGTTCATGTTCTTCGGTGATCTGCGGAGTTAGCAGATGTGTTCTGGCCTCTTTAAACTCTTCCCAATATACTTTTGCTTCCGCATCTTTCTTCAATAACATTTGTATGATGGCCTGCGGATTTGTCCCCAAAAAACTAGTTAATTCTCAAATTTTAACTTTTTTACACCAGACTTCCAATTTTGAAAGTTTTAACTTTGTGAAGAGAAAAAAGTACTGACATTGTAGAGTGGACGTCTTGCATCAGAAATTTTACTCTCTTTCAGGCATTTGCACTCTGAGGCCTTCTTAAAATCTCCCTGGAGAAAAATTAGAGGGCTTAAAAGAGCAAGTGGAAATTGGCATCTTTTGATATATTAAGTTATGGGGAAGTTAACATAGAAAAACCTTGTAAATGAGCATCTCCACAAGTAACATTTCAATCTCATAAGCTTCATGGCTTTCATTTCTCCCACGCGATTTAGCTAATTCGTTTTCCAGCAGTGTCACTGCTTCATCTTCCTTTCCTGTCATTTCCAGCTTCACAAGGAGGCGCTTCCAGGACCAAAACAAAGACGTTAACATTTATGTAATTCAGCTCTTTAATTAAGACATTAACAATTAGTCACTTAATTCTAGATTTGGAAATTTTTTTTAGTATAGAATCATTAAGAGATTTCACTAGAAATTACCTTGTTGCTACCTCTTGAAAAAAAATAAAGAATTGGCCAAATATAAAGTCAAACAGACAAAGAGCAAACCTTTTTGTCAATGAAGCCGCACCTCTTGGTTCAAAGAAGTTATCAATACACAACAAAATGTAGAACGTTTTGACTTGATTAGATTTTAGGTGATATATCTTAATTACCTGAAGCTCCTTGAAATTTGGTTTCTCTTGTTTAACCAGAGATTTAAACTGAGAGAGGGCAGTCTCCAACTCTTCTTCGTTAGCCCGATTACCATGATACTCAAGAAGTCTCTCCAAGGCCAGACTACCTCCATGAAGCGTTGCCAAGGAGACGCACCGTGCAAACATTGGGCGAGGCTCAGTAGGCTTTTCTTGTTTGCACCGTGCAAACATTGGGCGAGGCTCAGTAGGCTTTTCTTGTTTGCACCGTGCAAACATTGGGCGAGGCTCAGTAGGCTTTTCTTGTTTTTTCCACAAACGTCCTGCGTAATTCCAAGCGATGTAAACCCCTCCGGCGATCAAAATGGGTGTCGCTACCAAGGCTATTGCCCTGTACTTCGGCTTTGTAGTGAAATTATCTGATGAGTCCATCATTTTTGATAAAAGGAGGTGTGGAGAGAATCGTGTGAAAAGGAGAAACATTTATCATGGTTCTAGGCTTGTTTAATTGGTAAGAAACTCCCAAGAATCAAGAGTTTCACAAGAAAACTATCATTCCTCTCTTACAAATCAAGGAGAGAAGTTATTCCGAGTCGTCTTTTTGGAACATGTTTATTCTAACTTGCGATCATGTTTGGTTTGTTTATTACGTATTATCTGTTAATGAATAATTAATAGCATATAATTAATACCTATTGATTTTATGTTTTTTTTTTTTTTGTTTGCCATTTGAATGGTTGATAGCCTATATTCATAATATTTTATTAAATAAGTAAATACATATAATATTATAAAAAAACTCAAGATAAAAAATGATACATTTTAATTATAAATTTATAATATTACCATATATCATTTTTTAATAAGAGAAAACAACTATTACTGGTTGTTTAACAGTTAAATCCGTGCATTACAGTTTTGATGCCGAAGGAAATTTTGGACTTCAAAATTACTACACATGTGAAAGGCAAAGAAGAAAAAATGCCTTGCTTAATTTACCAGAAAAACAAAAGAATGCCTTGCTTGAACTTCTCATCAAAAGATATAAATCCTACCCTCTATATAATTCTTTTTTCATTTAACTCAACAATTCGTAATCCTCCGAAAAACACACAAACTCATCTTCCATGGAAACGGTGCTTTACCTCTGCCATGGCATCCCACCCACCATGCCCCTGCCTCCTGCAACAGAAAACAAGCTTTGTTTCAACTCTAGACGTTCTTCTTCTCTTTCACTATCTAGTGGTCGTAAGAAAACATTGAGGGGAAGAGTCATTGAATGCAGCGGCGGAAGGAAACTGAAGAGAGGGGCTTCATTTCAGAGTACAGCGACTAAACTAGGCGCCCTAAAATCTTTATTAGATGTGATGAACTGCTTGGATTTGCATCGATCGGACACCCACAACACCCAGGAGCTTACTCAGCAGAAGGCAGTTGAGATACTGAAAGAGGAATACCAGAATTGTGAGAAGGAAACCCTTCGCGATCCCTTCGTATATGCTGAAATTCTTATCTGTTTGGTAAGCAAACTAATCTTATCTGTACAATTTCCCCCAGTCCTGTAAAATGTGTATTAGCACCAAGATGGCTTAACTGACAATTGATTGCTAATGTGAATAATGGCTACTTGGTTACAGGGAAGATTCAAAGAAGCCCTGGAACTTGATTGTTTAAAGGAAAGCCACCCTTCTGATCTCCGGCTCAAACTTTACAAGGTTATAAATATTCTTCTATTTTGAACTTACATACTGGTAAATATTCCCAATATTTGTAAGGTATAACAGTTCTTTCATTTCACTTTCGACAGGCTATAATATATACCATGTTGGCACGTAGTTTCTGGGAAGAATTTTGGAACTCTCCAGAAATACCTGATGTTGGAGACGATGTCCCAATTGAAAGGGAAGATTGATATGTTTTTAATGTAAGATAATGGTGGTTTTTAGTCCAGACAACATATAAAATTGTACTGTTAGAGTTATGAAAGTGTCAAATATTCTTAATAAATTTTATTGAATAAGATTATTTCAATACCTTCACAACTTGAAATGTATACAATCAAAACTAAAAAATATTTCTGATAATGTATTCTATTACTAGCATAAGAGAAAAATGTAAAACTATTGTGAGATTTGGATGTTCCATAATTTATGTCTTAATTGGTTTTACATTATCCCCTAAATAAAGCATCAGCCATATATTTTAAAGGTAGAGTTCAATTATTGTCTTCATGTACCAAAAAAATTATCTCTTAAATAAAACAAAAGAATTCAATTTTCTTGAGTTATCTTTTCTAATAATCTCGAGTTTAAATTTAAAAGGTTAAATACCCTTTTTGGTCCCTCTACTATTGAAAATCTCCTTTTTGGTCTTTTTACTGAAAAAATTCCCTTTTTGGTCCCTAAATTTTAAAATCCGACCTCTTTTTAGGCCCTCCGTTAATTTTTGCTTGCGTGGCACGTTAACTTGATGAGAACAGTTGATGTGGATATGCCAATGTGTAGAAGGTGCTTACGTGGACTTAATGATACCCTCCACATCACTCTCCTCGTGCAAGAAAAGAAAAAAACCCTAATCAATGGGACCTACATTCTAAAATACGCAGCAAATATAAGTCGATTGTCCCTGAACCCTACCTAAACATAACCTTAAATTCTCCAATTTTTTTTTTCTAGTTCCCTGTCTAGAAATCATCTTCTTGCTTTCAAAACTCTTGTTTTTCGTTCATAATCAATTCTTTACATGTGAGATTAGTGAAGATATTGTCCTAATGGAGGGTGGGCTTTTGCAAAGCAACTCGTTCACTGATTCTGCATCAACTAGCAGCTTTCTTGGAAAAAAATATGTTTGCAGGTGCGGTTTGGATGCTGTTTTGAGAACATCCCTGACTTACCAAAACATGGGAAGAAGATTTTAGGGATGTCCTAAATTCGAAGTGTGTTCATGTTTAGAATGAAAATTTTTAAAAAAACCCTAAACTACTAATTTCATGCTATTTAGGTTGGGAAGGCTGGGAAGATTGCGAATGCATGCAATTTCTTCCACTTTCTTGATGGTGATGAGGTGATTGAGGGAAGAGTGAAGGGTCTCTTGTTGCCACTTAAAGATAAGCAAATTAGGCTCGAGAAAGAGATTCAAAGTTACAAGGAAGAAAACAAATATCTTATGGCTAAAAAGGGGAAACTATTGTAGGAAAATGCAGACTTGATGTCCAAAAATGGGAAATTCTTGCAAGAAAATGGTGACTTAAAGGTCCGATGTAAGGCATTCGTTAAGAATATCAAAGGCTTGGAGAAGAAAGTGAAGAGAAATGAGAAGATATGTGTCAGAGCACTTATAAGCTGTCAAATATTTTGTGTGGTTTGTACTGTCTATCTTCTTGTTTTTGTGTTTATTGGGTTGCATAGATTACATTAACACTGTTGGGAAAACTGGGAAAATGATGGGATGGGAGACTAGTGCCTTTTTTGCATTATTTGCCCTTTTATGTAAAAGGAATGTAATTTGTTCCCTATAAATGGCACATGGTCTATTAATTTTATATTCACTGTACAAGTTTAATTTCATACTAGCAAATACACAGCAAAATGTCATTCTCAACCAAAACACAAGACTTTTCAATCAAGAACAATTCTTGATTCCAAAATATTTGCACCATTAACATCAGTCTGGAAATCAAAGGTGTACCAATATACATACAACTTGTCCCATGAAGCCATCATATGCACAAGAGCATATACACCATATACAAAACAGGAATTCCTATGAACTTGCCTAAGTTTA